TCCCATTGAGACCAACACTTCTCTCCCTCCTCTCAAGGACCTTTTTGATGTTCTTCTACTGAAAACTAATAAAACACCCACACGTGACAGAGCAACAAGTGAACTCAAGGAGAACCAGGAGGATAATGGGTTTAATTTCTCTTGATTCAGCAAAACCAACAAGAATCCTGGATACCAACACGCCACAGACTTTGAGGAAGAGAAAAAATTCAGCCTGGATTTGAAACCTGCCCCTGGAATCTCCAGATGACACCTCAAGGCAAAGATCAAACCAGAACAAAGTGATTTCCCTCTTCAAAGTCTGGGATTTTTGATGTTGGACCTGGTTTTCCCCCAACGTTTTTCTTCACCCTGCAGAGCTGCTGTGGAGCAGACACGTTGACCTTGGCTGTTTCTTCCCCCAAAATTCTGTGGGCCATCATCCCAACGAGGGTCTCCAAAGGGGAGGCAAGGTTCATTTCAGCCAGATCCACTTGTCCCCAACCTCAGCGTTGTAGCCTGGCCTAAAATTCCGACCAGGAAGCTGCAGAAAGCAGAAGGTTCAGTCAGAAACATTGTTCTCATCACTCTTGGGGGAGGTTTTTAGGATTCCTGATCAAATACCTCGTGGTATCAGCAGGAGGGGAATGTGAAATGTGGGGTTAGGACTTCATGGTTGAAAATGAGAGGAAAAATGAGGGTTTTTTGAGAAAAATATGGAGCTGTGCAGGCAAAAGGGGGAACCTACAAAACCCACCAGGCCATAAGAGAGAGAAAAACCAGGAAAATCATCACCAGCATCACTATTGCCCCTGGATTCCTCCCAGCTCCTCACCTCCACATCCTCCTCCTCCTTTTTGGTCAGAGATGACCCCTCAAACCACATCCCAGAGGAGCTGAATGAAGTCAGGAGAACCTCACTCCAAACCAGGCAAGGGTTATGAAATCCATTCAATATTTCATGCCTGAAATGCTGAGTTAATGACTCCATCAAATTAAACCCAAGGAAATGAGGTATTTAGGCTTTGAGAGATGAGTTTTACTTCATGAAAGTAAAAAAGCCACATCTGCCTGGCTTTGGAAGCCAAGCCACCAACCAACTGCTGGCTGGAGATGGAGTTTCTCCCAGCCCCAACCCAAATTTCACCCATCCCCAAGCAGCAGCCTCTGGATCTCACTGATCTTTGAGGTCGCAGCTCTTCACCACAAACCCCCAACGCTGCTGGGAGCACCTTGGACAGGAAGGTTGGATCGACCTGTAGCCATGGTCACCAAAGCAGGGCTGGAGGAACCTTCATGGCACCCCCTCCAAACCATCTGCTGCACCTCGTTGGGCAGGAGATGGCTGAGAAGCCAAGAAATGGATTGCAGAGGAAAAGGTTGGATCAACTGGAATGCTGGCTGTGGACCTCAGGTGGAGCAGAGTGCTGGGAGGAGGACCTCAAGTGGACCAGGGAAGCTGGAGCATGTGGCATTTAGGAGTTTAAGGAGCTGTGCCTAGAGCTGAGACAAGGATCTGTCACCTCCAAGCCTGCGAAGGGCCACGAGACACTGAAGAACCCAACCTCCTTTCCTGGGAGTCCATCTGGGCAACCCAAGAGATGTGCCACCACCAAAGCCTTCCTCCCATCCCACCACTGGGCCAGAAGACTCACTGTGAGTGTGCCAACAACACCAGCATCAAAAGAGTTCAAAGAGGGAATAACCCCCTGCACCAGGACCTGCTGGGAAGCAGCTCTGTGAAGATCTAGAAGTCCTGGAGGACAAGAAGTTGCCCATGAGGCAGCAATGGGCCCTCAAGGCCAATGGTCTCCTGGGGAGCATGAAGATGAGTGTGGCCAGCAGGTCCAGGGAGGTTCTCCTCAGGGAGGTTCTCCTGCCCTTCTGCTTTAGGGAGGCCACATCTGGACACAACTGTGTCCAGCTGTGGGCTTCCCCATTCAAGAGGGCCAAGGAACAACTGGAAAGAGTCCAACAGAGGCTGGGAAGATGCTGAGGAGCCTGGAGCATCTCTGGGAGGAGGAATCTCCAGGAATGAGAGAGAGAAAACACACCTATGAGCTCCAACACTCCAACCAAGCACCAAACCACCAAGAGAAAGCAAAGGAGCTTTGTGAGAAAGTCTGAAGCAAGCCAAGCCACCACAACAAAACCCTTCCTTCAAAAACAAGCTCTCTGCTGGCAGCCTCTCCAAGGAATTAAGCCCAGATCGTGTCATCTCCTCCCAAAACGTTGGTTTCACACAGGACCTTTGACTTTCCCTGATGATTTTGCCTTTTCCAACTCAACTGGAAGAGCTCCCTGGTGGAGAGAGCTGCATCTGCAGAGAGAAGATGACATCTAGCCCCACAAAATCAGCTCTTTCATGGAGGATCCAGCCTGTTGGTTTGAGGAAAAGGGGTGGGGGGGGTCCCTTTTTTTTCCCCTTATTATTTAAAGGTCAGAAAATAAGACACTTCTCACCCTAAACCATCAGATTTCCACCTCCTTCATGAGCCATTCTCCACTCTGCCTTGTCACCAGCTCCTGAGGGGTTCTTTGGGAGGTTTTTTTCATTTCAGAGTCACTCCTGCTGAGCCAAGAGGAGATGGGAGATGAAAAAATAAAGGAAGACCCACCTCTGACCTGCAAATTTACAGGGCTGAGCCAGGGAGGACATCAGACCTGCTGTGACCAGCCTGGATTTATTAATCCTAGCACAAACCCAGCTCTCCCTTGGTCTTCTCCATGCAGGACATAATTGGTTCTTTGATATTTGAAGAGATTCTCAGATATCTACATGATTAAAGCAACAGGAGCTCTCTGGGAAAACACAGTTTAGTTTGGGGTTCATCTGCCCTCTTGAAAAGAGACAACCTCCATCCCAACAGAATTCAAACATCCTCATCCAAAACAAATTCCCCCTTTGGTGAAAGGCATCCGAGGAAATTTGGGAATCAGCATCCATCCAACTCTGCCTCGTTCCCAGGGGGGCCTTGGCCAAAGGAGTTGAGTTTGGGAGGGGGTTTTACAGCCAAGCTGCCCAAAAAGCCAAGAAAAAAACACCCTGAGAAGGTGAAGGGGAAGACACAGCCAATAAATCCCACAGGAACGATGGGAATGGATGTTCTCCACAAGATCTCCACCACAGGTGATGTCCCAAGAATGAGCTCCTCAAAAATGACATTTTACAGCCCTGTCCACAGCAATAAAGCTGAACAACCAAGAGAGGGGAAGCTGGTGATGTTTTAGTAGTTACTGAGGATCTGGAAAACACTGGAACAGGAGTTTCTCCTCTTCTTGGGGTCTTCTGCCTCCTCTCCACCTCCTCCCATGCCCACCTCCCTCCCAGGACCAGCTCCATGTCATGAGGAGCCTGAATTAAACAGGCCAAAGGGATGGTGCTGGATGGACTGGACAGCATGATGCCAACAAGAAGAGGTCCTACAGTTCCCATCCTCTCATCTCCCTGCTCCACAGGCTCTTCTGGCCCATTCCACAAGCTCCTCAACCAGCAACAGCCAGCAGGAAGCTCTTCACTCCTTCTGGGTTGGTTTTTGGTGACTCCACACACACTAAATCACTGCAAAGAAGAGTGGTGGGAGCACCAGGGAAGATCTGCCCAACTTAGAAGAGAGATGATGGAAGGGAGATAGGACAAAGCCCTCCAGAACTTGGCAGTAGCTGGGAGAACACAGAGACTGAATATTCACTGTCCTTTCCAGGGCAAGGTAGAGGTGCCACCAGAAGTCAATGGTTTGAAGGACTCCTTGCTGAAAGATGCTGCTGGCACAAGATTTAGACTGGTTTTGATGGGAAACCAGGCAAGAGCTTGGAAGGGATTTGCATTTTCCATGAGGATGAAGCTTCCCAGTCAGAAAATCAGCAAGGCCACCTCATTCCAAGTGACTTCTACCTTCTGGAATGCTCCAGGTGTGTCACCTTCAAGCCATGCATGAGCAAGACAAGAAGAAAGGGTTGTGTTAATGCCACATTAAAAATAATAGTCATTAAAAGTGTGTAATAGGACACTTTTAACACCACATTTCCCCAGGCAAGTAAAAAGAGTCCAACAAATCCCTTCAAACCCTCCTTGCTCCTTCCCTGACATCAGCCCAGAGACCTTCAGAGCCACCAACAGGTTTGGTCCAGCCCCGAGGGGCAGAGGAAGCAGTTGAACATCTCCAAGCTGAACCATCTTTGCCAGGAAAAGCAAGAAAAGCTGTTTTGTTCTCACAGCAACCATCTAGATGCCCTCAAGAGCTTCTGGCTGATCAGCCCTGAATGAGGCAGAGATCCCACTGGACAAACCCAACAGCAGGAGAGAGGAGCTCTCCTGGAAGGTCACCCCCAAGGAACAGACTGTTCCACTCCATGGAAATGGAGAACTGAAAGTTGGCAGCAAGGATGATCCTCAAGAAATATGTGAGCAAAATCCACCAGGCAGAGCCTAAACCTCATGAAAGGAGCTGTGGCCAAGCAGGGAGAGGCAGCTGAGAGGAATGAAACCACTCAGCTTTAAGAAAAGCAGCAGGAAAAAGAGGAAACCAAGATCATCTCCTCAGTGAAATGAAGAACTCTGCCCCAGAAGTGTCTGTCAGAACCATAAAGGTGATGAAAAGCCCCCCCCCTGAAGCAGCACAGGCTGCAGAGAGGCAACAAACAGCTCCAGCCAGTTGGGAGCTCCACGGTTCCTCCAAAGAATTCCAACCCAGCTGGGTCCAAATGGAGCTCTGGAGAGTGTGAGCAACCTGAAGAGCTCAGAAGAGATCTAGAAATGGCCTATTTGGAGCAGTGCTGATCCAAGAGGACTCAAAAGCAGAGTGGTTACTCTGCCAGCATGGGTCCTCAACCCTCAAACCTTGGTGTTTAGTGGCTGTTCCACACAAAAAGTCCTAAGAGCACCTTCTATCCCTGCTGGTAGCTACAACTCCTGCTTTTTCCCCACTAGAATCCTGACTTCCAGAAGTTTATGGTCAGGGTTTGTTGTCTCATCTAAAATCTGAGAGATTTCTATGGATGTGTAACTTCATACATCCCAGGAGAAGCCCAGAAGAAGCCCAGAAGAAGCCCAAGAAGAAGCCCAAGAAGAAGCCCAAGGAGAAGCCCAAGGAGAAGCCCAAGGAGAAGCCAAAGGAGAAGCCCAAAAGCCCAAGGAGAAGACCAAGGAGAAGCCCAAGAAGAAGCCCAAGACGAAGCCCAAGAAGAAGCCCAAGAAGAAGCCCAAGGAGAAGCCCAAGGAGAAGACCAAGGAGAAGCCCAAGAAGAAGCCCAAGACGAAGCCCAAGAAGAAGCCCAAGAAGAAGCCCAAGGAGAAGCCCAAGGAGAAGACCAAGGAGAAGCCCAAGAAGAAGCCCAAGACGAAGCCCAAGAAGAAGCCCAAGAAGCAGCCCAGGATTCTCTTTAACAGGAGTTAAAGCTTTCCTGAAAAAATAACCCAACCTTTACTGAGTTGAGGTTAAAACAGTTCTGATTGGCTGAATGATCAATGAATCTTGTCCTAACCCTTCACTCCAGACAAAACCAGACAGAACAACTTCTACTTGGCTTTTTCTCAGCAGATAAGCTCCAAGTGCCAGTTATCTACTGGTTGGTAAGTGCAAAGAAAAGGTGGGCCACCAAAACACCTCCAACTGAGACTGTTTTACAGCTGAAGACCCCTGGAAACATCACCCAAGAAGCTCAAGCAAAGCAAGGAGAAGGAATAAACCCAGTTATCCTCCTCAGAGGGCTGCCAAAACCCCTTCTTCATCTAGAACTTGATTTTCAACCTATGAGACCACGATGAAACCATCCTCTGAGGGTTGGATTCTTATTTTTCAGTTGAGGTTTCCTAGGAGATGGAGAAGAATGGAGGGGGAGAGGCTCACCTGCAACTTTTTCCTCCCCTTTGCTTCATCACCAACAAAAGATCTTTTCTTCCCAGCAAGTTTCCTTGGGGATTTATTTGATGGGTTTTGTTACTTCACAGAGGTCTACCCTGGGGATCACATTCCTACACAGGTATGGGATTGACAGAGGGGGGATTTGGGAGAAGGAGGAAACACTCCCACACATAAAAAAAGTGTTTTCTTTCATAGGGTTTAGTGGCAAAGTGTCAAGTTGGGATCAATAATCAAGGGATTATTCTCATGCCAGCAGGATTTTGCTGTCTCTTTGATTTCCAGAGGCACCCACTGGCTGGGACAGCAGGAGCTGTCATCTACAACCACCACCAAGGGCAAATTTGGGACAGTTTCAAGGTTTCTCAGGTTCTTTCCACCCTGTAAATGGGATAGACAGCCCAGCCCATGGTATTTTTCAAGGGAAGGAGAGCAGAAGAGGGGCTGCTCTCCTGCTCTCTCCATACATACAAGATTGGGGAGTGTAGAAAAGGTTGGAAAAGGAGATCCCATGTCTACCCCTACCTCTTTCCAGGCACCTTTCAGGAATAATTTCATCATTCCTACCCTTTTAGTGACTCTCCAGGTCCTTCTGGTCTTCCAGCTATTAGCCAGGCAGCGTTCTGTTCCTTCAGAAAGGGCTAAAACTATTTTTGCAGAGATAAAACCAGAATGAAAAGCTGATTGAAGCCTTTCCTAATGTATTGTGTGTCTGGTTCCATGCCTGGATTCAACAGCAGACAGGGCTGGGTGTTACAGCTGTCAAGCACCTCCACTAAAACAAGAATTAGGAAGGAAGGGAGAGCTTGAGCTTTCAAAAAAAAAGAAGGAAAACTTCATCATGACAAGAAAATAAATGGCAGGAGAGAGAAAAGAGAAGATTGTAGCAAAGACAGCTGCTAGAGTAACCACCACAAACATGGGGAGGAAGGATCTTCTCACCTCCCTTCTCTTGGGAAGGTAAAAGTACCCCACACTTGAGCATTTCCCCCCCTTAGGGTTTCATCTTTATGAGAAAAAGGGTAGTAAAAAGCCTGGGGGAAAAGTGTGGGGCTCTCCCCTCCTCCAACCTGCTGCCTCTTCTCCATCTGATGCCACTGCAGGGCACTGGCAGGTCCTGGGGCAGACAGGAGGAAGATGAGGAGCAGGATTGGAAGATGAAGCTGCTGTGGAAGGTCATCTCTTCCAACCCAACCACCCTGCTGCTGTTCCAGCACTCACACAGCCCCACACTTGGGTCACAACAACCCCCTGAAACGCTCCAGGTTGGGGGAAGAGTGGCTGGAAAGCTCTGCAAGAGAAAGGACCTGGAGGTGTTGGTCAACAGGCAGCTGGAGATGGAGCCAGCAGGTGTCCAGGTGGTCAAGATGGCCACTGGGTTGAGTTTTAGGCCACTCAATCCAAGAAGAACCTTGAGGGGGTGGAGAGTGTCCAGAGAAGGGCAAAGAAGCTGGGGAACAAAGCTGGTCCAAGCAGAGCTGGACCCTGAACTCCTGGGACAAGCAAACCCAGGAGTTTTTTTGGTATTTTTAAGCATTAAATGATTTAGATTTCATCTAAATGAACCAACACTCATTTCTTTAGGCTCTGCAAAAGGAGGAGAGGTGGCAAAGACTATTTTCAAGTTCTCCAGCTTTGTTTGCAGAGGTAAAGCCCTCGGTGATGAGTAGAATCCCAACCTCAGCCAGATTTTCTCTACACAGAAAAGAGCAGGCACGTAAAAAGAGCCTTTTTTTCCCCCTCCCCACCCCCTCAGGAGATTCAGCAGGTTTTTGCCAAGAGCATTTGAGAGTGTGAAGTACATAAGCAGGTTATTTAAGCACACTGATTCCATTAAACAGAACCATTTGTTTTCCTTCTTTCTCTGCAAACCACATCTGCCTCAAGTGCTCCAGCTCCGTGGGGCTCACGTGGAGTTTGGAGCTTTATCCTCTGGGATTGTGCAGGGTTGGAAGAAAGCAGAGAGGGGGGGGAATAAAAAAAGAGGGTAGTCAAGTCTTTACTGGTCTGAGAGTTCCTCAAATCATGGTGCTTTGCTGAAGAATGAAGAGGCTTATCTCTGATCTCCACAACCTGATTAAAAGGTTGTTTTTTCCCTTCCTTGCCAGAAAAGCATCTTTAGAAGTTGGTGAATGAACCCTGCCAGCTGACTTGCTGGGGAGAGGAGGAGGAGGAGGCAGAAAGCCACCTCCTCACCCTTGAAAAAAATGCTTACAGAAGAAATTTAGAGAGTAGAGGTTAAAAAAAAAAGTGAGTTTTTAGCATCCAGAGCTCTCTGCAGCTACCTCATTCTTCAGCAGAAAGCCACACGTGCTAAAACCTTGGACTCTGGAGTGTGTGTTCCTCCTCCTCCTCTGTTGCTTCTAATGGATATTTTGAACCAACCTCAGTTTCTGCCTGGAGTTGTGTGCAGGGAGCTCTGAAAAGCACAGCAGTTGGCTGCCTGGAGTTAAAGGGCTGCTGAGGAACAACAACAACAACCACCAAAAATCCCCTCAGCAAATCGTGGCGTTGATGTGGTGAACGCCACGACAGGCACGGATTTCCCACAAGGAAAAGTTCTCTAATTACAGCCTCATTAAGCCTTGGCTCCCCAGTCACGTGAGCCTCAAATCTTTCTTTTCCCAATGCCAAAGTGGGAGCCCAGCTGTGGCCACCCCCACGAAGACACGGGGCAAGTTGAGGAGGGGTTTGTGAGTCCCTTCTCGTCGGAGCCACCGAGCTTGGGGTGGAGATTTGGAGGTCGAGAAGGTTCTTTTGGCCTCCCCTGGTGGGTCTCCTCCTCCAGCACCTCTGGAAAAATAAAATCAGCCTTGCCTCCCCCAAAAAATCCACACACTTCATTTGCTTAACAAAGCTGGGAGGGAGAAAGGCAGATCTTCAAAGCTGCCATGTGAAGAGTTGAGTTCTTAGAACATAAAGCCAGAGGGTGGGGCTGGATTTGTGCTTCCCCTCCCAGAATTTTCTAGTTCAGCCTTTTTTTTGTTTGCTCTTTGGACCATCCCTATGGACCCCCCCCAACCCCTGAAGCCTCTCAGCATTCAGAAGAGGGGGGGGAAAGAGCAGCTTGGATGGAACAGAAAGCTTCATGAAACTCCTTCTTCCAAAGGACATCACCACTTTCCACAGCAATCCCTTCAATCAGGACCTAAAAACACTCCTGCAGAAGGCAGGTTGGATTTTGGCAGGTTTTCTCCTGCACTTCCAGTGCTCAGCTCCTGATGTCCAATCCCTGGCACCCAGCAGAGCAACCCAAGAGCCCATTTCCCCTTCCCAAATCTCCAAATTCCTCCTCCCAAGCATTTCTTTGCTACATCTTCAAGGCAAGTCTCATTTTTTTTTCCCCCTCCTCTGGATTCCAGCTCTTTGACAAGCCAGGACTTTCTCAGTTGATTTTTCAGCACCAAGAGGAATGTGCTGAGGGGGGGAAAGAAAGAAAAAGCAGCAAAAAAAGAGCTTTCAAAGTATCACCCCTGGTTCTCAGGGTTGTATCTGTGTGTCAGGCAGCCTCAGGAATCCCCAGCTCTGCTGCAAAGTGACATTTCAGCCCCCCCAAAAAAAACCCACCAAAACCCAACCCCTGTCATCTTCAGGAAGAAAAGGCACCAGCAGGACAGATGGATGTGGAAATGCTGGGGTGGGGGGGGAAGTGGTGCAGCAGATCCCTCTGAAATCTGTGCTCACAGATGTCTCCCAGTGGAGGACTCCCAAAATCTTCAAGGTTTGGATTTGAAAACGTGATGCCAAAAAGAACCAACAAAAAATTCCTCCCAGGAGTTTCTCAGAGGGGCTGGGGGAGGTTTTCAGACTCCTTGGAGGACCTTGAGGAGTGGAGAGATGTTTTTTCTGCTGCTTCAAGACTAAGTTTAGCCCTTTTCTGAGGTGGAAAGAAGCTCTGAAATGAGGGAGTGTGGACTCAGGAGCTTCTCCACGGCCTGGTTAGCTGAGGAGGAATGGATGATGTTGAATATTCAACAGTCAGTTTGGAATTGACTCTTCCAGAAGATAAAATTGAGAGTTTAGAGTTTCCAAACCAAGCCCACAAACCTGTATCTTACATTTTCATTCCAAGAAGAGACTGTATCATGAAAAAAATGAGTTTTTAACTATGAAAATCATGGTTTACAACAATTTAGACAGAACTTCCTTCCTCTGCCTTCAGTGGAACAGGTGGCCCAGAGAAATTGGGGATGTCCCAACCCTGGAAGAGTTCAAGGCCAAGGTTTGGAGCAACCTGATGTGGTGGGAGGTTGCAATTAGATGATCTTTTAAGGTCCCTTCTAACCCAAATTCATCCTAGGACTGCTTGAAAACACCACCAGTGAAGATTTCAACCCAACTTGAAGGCACACCACCACCTGCAGAGCTTCAGTTTGGCCCAGCAGGAGGAACTCTCATCAGCTCCACAATCTCTCTAGTGAGAATTTACAATACCTGGGCCTCAGGGGTGGCTTGAGAGGCCCCCCCAAAAAACAGCTCAGGGCCAAAGGGGGAAGGCAACTGGAAGCTGTTGTCTCCAGCAAGGAGAAAGGCAA